ATCACAGTAAATTAAAATATTTTTCAATTAAGCATTATTGAAACGCCTCCAACCGCGGAGCTGGAGCCCCTTTCAGGTGGTAGTTTGGTGCAGACTGATGAGGTAGTACCTTTTTAAGTTTAATTCAGCATAACCTTTTGTCTTGTTATTTGTGAGCCCGTTATTTGAAATTAACTCACTCAACGCTGGCCCGTGGCTTGAGTTCTGAAGTACAGAATAGTTGAAAAAGCTGTTCTTTTCAGTCACGAATATAGGGTGAACACCTTTGTTGTAGGCAATATTTATCGTGAAACAGTTATATTTCAGTGTTTAAATATGCTCTGTTGGCTTGAATAACATTGTTGATGGCGCTCAGCTAGGACTCACAGTGAGCGATAAATAATATTTATTAATTAGTCCATTGCACATTCAATGTATTCTTGCCAAAACAATACCAACTGTTTCCCTCCAAAGACATCTTTTTTGAAAAGGAACTCCTCTAAATATAGTGATAATTAGCAAAAGCCGGTTCCTTGAGGTCGCGAGCAGTTGTGAAAACTGCGCCATTGAAATTCAAACATGCGAATCATATATTGTGCTGACCGGGAACACCTAAAACTAGCTTTCACCAGCAATATAATATACATATATAGTTTTTGTTCAACCAGTACTCTGATACGGTTTTCCATCTATGCGCTGCAGGTGCTGTGCGTATATTGAGCCAGTGCCTGCTTAAGTGGCTCATTGCTTCTATAAGCAACGAAAAAAATGCGACTCGCCGTGTGTATTTATGTAATGCGACTCATATAACTGGTCTTCTAATTAATTAGTTTTCAAGTTGAACGGTTACTAACTCGAATTTATGGGGAACTTTTGTTTTCGAATGACAGCTATATACTCCATATTCCGATGTGTGTAACCTCATGACAAATAGCGCAATTGTTCACTAAGCATCTTCTAACTTGCCTTTAACTTTCTTCTCGCCTTTAATTGGAAAATTTTTTCTATAAGCCTTCTTCATTAAATCCATCAACGTTGAATCAGTGTAAAATTCCAGTGCCTGTACTTTTGTTACGATTGTACAGTTGGTTATGAATATAGGTTTGTCCGTAATTAATGACTTGTTGAACTGGGACAATATCAGCTCTTTGTATAAGGACAGCCTGCATAATTACTTGTTACATTGCAAGTAAATATGAATGGCACCTCTAAATTAATTCATCTACTTCTATAGTCATAATGCTGTTCGCTTTGGTATCTCTTGCTTAGAAGATTTATCAGCGTCAGTGGTCAAATGAATGCCACGTATTGGAATTTCGAGTTCATGGCATACCTTTATGCGCCATTCAGATGTACTGCAGTCTCTGCAACTCCTCTCAGAAATGATTTCACTGATTGAAAGTAATCGCTTGCTGCGTGTTTTTTACTGCTAAGAATAATGTAGCGGTTAAGCATTTTTAAGCGGTTTAAACTTTGTCTAAATTGTACCTTGTTCGTACATTTCAGGAAGATATGGGAATCACCTATGATGAGCTGTCTGCTTTGTCCGTTTACAGAAGGCCAGGTTTTTATGGTCCGTATTCAACGTTCTGTAAATTTCTTGCCGCGTCTCAGGGAAAGGCATCCCCTTCTCAGGTACGGTTTTTCGAGTTTGCTAGAAATCTGATAATCAGCTACCGTTTGCAAAGGTGGCCGTGAAGGTAAAGCACTTTTATCGTCGGTACGCTATCAACCGCCACAAAATGACAGTCGTGACGCCGTCATACAGGGCTACGTTGTTGTGCCCTGATGACAGCAGACCATTTCTGTATAACGTGCAGTGGCCATGGCAGTTTCGCCAGATTGATGATAAGGTAGGCGGCGCTAACCAGAGGAAACACCAGTACTTTTTGTGTTTGTTACAGGTCAAACAGTTAAAGGACAGTTTTCAACTTTGATGATTATCAGCTGGAGTGAAAGATGGCAGATGAGAATGTCGAAACTTGGATTTTCTATGGTAACTGCGTAATAAAATACCGGTATTGCTATGGTTGTCTTTTTCTGAGAATATTCTTAAACGTGTATTCTGCAGAAACGACCGACGTTGCTCAATGTTGGACTCGTCACCATTCAGATTCTAACCCTGAATTGTGTACTGCCAGCCCTTACGGTAGCTGCGAAGACTTGTTATGCACTCAGTGATAAGGAAATTGTAATAGGATTTGATGTACCTACCGAAGTGAACACTAATTACAAATCCTCACATAGCGATTCGAGACACCGGTGTTTGTACCAACCATCGCTTTTTAGCCGCTTCCAGAAATCGATCTTGTCGTGCAATAATTTTGGAGTGCGATAATGATGCCAAACGGACTCATTCGACGCAGCCACATGGAACCAAACCAGATCAAGAATCGTACGACTCGAAGATGTTAAATAGATACCTTGATCCCATCTTGGAATTTCGTCCCTGGAATACTGCCCATTTGAGGAATCGGTATCATTCGTAAAACTTCAGGGCATTACTATTTAATGCACATGACAGCAAAGTCTGTAGTGCCACCAGGCAGGCGAACGGTTCATCAGCACAAAGCAATGCTGTGTGCACATCTGCTGTAACCAAAACATGTGTGAAAGTCGCGAGATTGTTTCCAAGTGTGCGACGACTTAACCCCATTTATAAGCAGCCTTAACCCTTTATGGCCTGGTGCTTCTTCTAGTAGATATGCCCGTTCGATGGGAGTTGACTTTTCTTTCATTGATGCAAGATTCAACTTGACGTAGGTCTGTTCGTTTGTATACTTAAGTTTTCGTAAACCGGTGTCCATTTGATGATCAGCCGCTGTCGCCGGCATATGGAATAAAACGAGTATAGCCTTTCGATGTCCTTCTTCTGTGCAGTCCAAGTAGTTTTCAACATTAAAGTAGGATGGATTCGGTTGTGAAAATTCGCGAACCTCATTTTTCACTTCCGGCGAAAACACTTTGGTTGTAATGCTTATTTAATGGCCACAGTTTATAAAGCCGTAGAGTTGTCATTTGTCAGATCCATATTGGGTAGGAGGTACCTCCTGTTAGTAGTAATTACTGTGTTGGTTGTTTGATATACGTTTAAGTAGGTTATGATTCCATGCTCGAAAAACAAATTTGTGATAATCCTTTGCCCTTAAAACAGTTATTCGTTGGCGCAGAACGCCTCCAGTATCATACTCTTCTGCATCACCAGCTCTGTCATAACTGCCTATACGAGTGGTTTAAACATGTCACGTCTGAATATCGAGTGCTGCGATGTTAGTTGCACATCGCATCATTTCGCTCGCTAGGGCACTTTGCCGCTTATCAGCAACGGCTGCAAGAGATGGTGCCCATTTTATTACATTGCAGAATCATAGTACCAGTTTTTGCGCTGAAGCATATTAATTCGCGCACAGTTTATCAATGACGGATTTCATGTGTATTTCACCACCGCTAAGCAGTGTGATGCGAGATGCATCTATATTGCGGATAACATTGAGCAGTAGCCTGTTCGAATTCTCCTTCCCCCATAAGCCGTTAGGACCAGTGGTTGCAATCCACTGAGAAATCTAGTTTTGAAGGAGTTGTATGAGCGAGTAAGCCCCTCCTGTCAGAAAGAATGGTTCGCAGTCGATCAACGTTTTAGAATAGTGAATAGTTTTCTTCCACCAAATGGTACTACATAAATTACTAAGTAAGGACAACGTGGAGAACATCGTTTAACTCATTGCATGATTCCACAGATGAATCCTTTTAATGAATAACAGCTTAACGTTATTCAGTCATCGTTCTTCGACTTTCACGAAAACTATGGTTTGGCAAGATGTACAAGTGGTCTATGGTCTACGATCAGCTTCATGTGTAACGTGTAATAGATATCGCTTGGAGGTAAACATCGCACAACATTCCTATTTCAGGATTCTAGTCCGGTTCAGCGCAGTGGTAGGCTGAACTTTTTCCAATCCTTGCTAACGCCAGACGACGAAAGATGCAGCGACTGAGTACTTGAAGTCATAATATAACAACGGCAGCCGGATACAAAACTTATAAAATTCAATTTTTCGACATTACAATTGAAATATAATTAGAAGCTGCAAAAATCACGTCAGTAAATGGAATTTCAGTTTCGAAGCCTGAGTTTCAAGTTCAAAAACGACGGACACGACAACACGACAGATTTAAGCGATATCTGAGGAAACGTGCTTCTGCTTTACCCTTGGAACTGAATATTTTTATGCAAATCTGGGGACATCAAAATCAGCCAGCAACGACTGATTATAACCCGAAACGATAGTGATGCGGCGTCGAAAGATCAGGTGTTCTCCCTGGCGTCGCGATTTTGATTTTCCTCGCCAGACTTTTTTGCACGTCTTCGTCGAGTTTCTTCTGCGCCACTATCTCCTGCTGTGCCTGTCGCATCTCAGCTTCCATCGTCGCCATATCCTTGAGTGCTTGTAGTTTTTTCTCCTAAAATGCAAAAAAAATCGTTAAAACTCCCCAGAGTTGAAAAATACACATTATGCTTACCCGAGAACTGCTGCTGCTACTGCTTTAAAAAAATAAAACATTCCTCGCTGATGACAGAAATCAACACTTAACTCTTAATTTCATAAAAAGTGGGCGCCACAAAAAGCTTCGTCGTGAAAGCGTAAGGAAGACTGATATTGCAAACTGTGCTTTAACCTCTCGGGCATGATCATTTAGAGGCATCTGCAAAACGAGGGCTCTGTAACGATTCTATGATAGAAGGGTAAAGGAGTTACGCAACATTTCTATATGCACAAGATGACACTCATACGTGGACAAATGAAGGACCTTAATGAGTAAACGGTATGTGAATACACGCAAAAGAACAGATTGAGGGAATTATAATAAGTCTAACTGAAAAGTGTAATAAGTGGTACTCAATCTGTCGAAAGAAGAACGACTTTAAAGATACTCCACGTAAGATGACGAGAACAGTCCATTCAGTAGAAGGATCATGAGCAGGAAAAATCACACTGAACATGGGATAAGGAAAACACCAGGAAGAAAGCAAGGCAAAATGATTTATAGTAATACCGGTTATGCCGGAAATGACCAAAAAACAATTAACAATCACGGAGGAAACCTATCCGGAAATTTTATATTTTGAAAAACGAAAATCCTGGCTTAAAAAATTGTAAGGAACAAAATTATTAAGCAAAAATTGCGTGCCTTTCTGCTAGAGCCGGATTCCTTAACACTGTAGAACATTGGCCCAAGCTCTGCGAGCCAGTATCCATCGACGGCTGTCACGCATTGCATGTACTCCTTCGCTGTCATGATTAATTCGTGGTAGACGACGTAATCTGGAGTGTAGCCCATTCCAAACAATGCACTTGTAGGATGCAGGAAACACGGCATGCCGGTACGCAGATTTACATATTCGCCGATACCCTTTAGTCTATAACAAAACAATGATAGAACAAATCGTGAAGCAAGCACATTAAAATATATTCTGAACATAACACAGTTATATAGTAACGCTATATAGTGTGAAACAATATACATTAGCGTTAGTATATAATATGTGTTCATATTGATAGTATACTATTATCGATGATTCATAATGCAATGGCTCAACAAGTCGGAATCAGCATATGTCGACTGCTAACGTCATTTACAAATATATTAATGCAATCAAATATGTAAATAGGGACACTGCGTCGTACGAAAAGACTCTGAATTAGGATTATGACTAACAGACACGTTTAAATCGAAAAGGTCAGACTCAGCAAAATCTGCGGAAGCGATACAAAGCTGCTGCACGCAGCGTGGTCAGGACACCCTAGTATTAATTATTCACAATTCATCATCATAAACTAAAAATTAAGGAAACACAAATCTGAGTAAATATGACCAAAACAATTTAAATAAAAGGAGCAGAAAGCAACGCCATGTTATAGAAAAACAGCTCCATCGAAGCGAAAGGAAGGCTAACTACTCACAAATGGAAAACCTTGTCTTCATTCGGTACGTAAGTACCCGCATTATTAATCTGTACCACTTTCATCAATCATTAATAGTCTTTTTAGATCCCTGTGCCTGTTTCCTGCAAAGTTTATCCATATTGACCCAGCGAATTTTTCACCTCATCTTGCATCGATCTGAAGGTCTATCAGCCGTTTACTCTGTCTTGCACCCCAGGCTCTTGTCTCTCTGATCCAACGATAGTCAGGTATTCATATAATGTGACCAGTAAATTGCCACTTTATCTTGTTCACTCGAGCAATGTGCTTTTATCTGTCTACTCATCCTCTTATCTTTTTAAACCATGCATTTCCATCATCCTCATGGTGCGTTGCACAGTTTGCATTTTATGAACAGCTTTTAGGTACTGAACGTAGGCTTCGCTCCCAGAGATTAGCATTAAAAGCACGTACTGATAAAAAAATTTTCCATTTCAAACACATCGGCAATTTTCCGGCTAGGATCATCTTTACTCTTTCGTAATTGCTCCATGCCATTTTCACCAATCTGTTGATTTCACACAGTCGGTTCAACGTTGCACACAGCTTTCCAGAAAGACGTAGATTTGCACTTTTTCAAATTCAGGTCCATGAATTTCTACACATTGGGGGGTCACGTTTTTGTTAAACATGACGTGGGTCTTCTTCAGGGTCATTCTCAGTCCTGCTTTGACGCCGGCTAATTTACATTTGAACGTTCATTAAATACTGACACAAACAACCTTTGGTCTGCTAACCTACTTCACCGCTGATCATGGATATAACTTACATCACCACCGCATCCATATTATTTAGTAAATAATAGCTACTGTTCCATTTTACGTCAGCGATCATTTGTGAAGCAGGTCAGCATATCAAAGTGAGCATCTCAGTACATTCTGCTATACAAATACATATTAAATAATGAATGATTCATTCAAGACAGAACTTCACGACTCCTACGCCTTGTTCCT